GGAAAAATAAAGAAAATATCAAAAAAAAAAACATTGATCGACCACGAGCCAATGGATTCGTGACCAGGTCCGGCCCAACCGCCGCACGCGCTTTTAGGCGAGTCGTGGGCCAAATTGGGGTCCAATCCCAGACCTGGAATCATAGAAGCAGGTCAACTCATTCTGGACGTCGACTTGACCCTGAATCCTGTGAGCCGCAGACCGCCCAGTCATAAGCCTGGACCGGCTCGGCCCCCGGCTACCCATCTACATAGGTCTTGTTTGGGCAACCAAAAAGAAAATGGAAGACAGATCGCATATTGGAAAGTGACTTCACTTTCTGTTTTTTATTTTTCTCCATTTGGCCACTTCAAAAAGTGGTCGGAAAATAAATGGAAAGTGAAGGGTGTCATGTAAGCTTTTTAGCCTATTTTACTTGATATAAAAAATGATATAGAAAGTTAATGGACATAGAAGAAAAGAGGGAGAGGAAAAAAAAAATTCATCTTTTTTGCTTTTCAAATTGTTTTTTCAGTTTTTGAGTTATCACCCCACCCCAGGTAGCGCTTTTCCCTCATCACAGAACCCCCCCAACACACAAGAACCCCGCGACTCGCTTCCCTCCTCAAAACAAATCACCCTTAACCTATCAAACCCTGGCAAGCCCTAAACAAACTGGAGATTACCCGTGGCGTCACAAACCCCACTTACCTCTCAACTTGTCGAAAATACATGAGAAATTGGCCAAGCTTAACGCATCTAATAAATAATTTCGAATCAATTACCATCTAAATAAATATGAATACAAAGTTAATATAGTTTAGAAGTGGAAAAATAAAGAAAATATCAAAAAAAAAAAACATTGATCGACCCACGACCAATGGATCGTGACCAGGTCCGGCCCAACCCGACCCGCTTTTAGGCGAGTCGTGGGCCAAATTGGGTCCAATCCCAGACCTGGAATCATAGAAGCAGGCTCAACTCATTCTGACCCGGACTTGACCCTGAATCCTGTGAGCCCAGACCGCCCAGTCATAAGCCTGGACCGGCTCGGCCCCCGCTACCCATCTACATAGGTCTTGTTTGGCAACCAAAAAGAAAATGGAAGACAGATCGCATATTGGAAAGTGACTTCACTTTCTGTTTTTTATTTTTCTCCATTTGGCACTTCAAAAGTGGTCGGAAAATAAATGGAAAGTGAAGGGTGTCATGTAAGCTTTTTAGCCTATTTTACTTGATATAAAAAATATATAGAAAGTTAATGGACATAGAAGAAAAGAGGGGAGAGGAAAAAAAAAAATTCATCTTTTTTGCTTTTCAAATTGTTTTTTCAGTTTTTGAGTTATCACCCCACCCCAGTAGCGTTTCCCTCATCACAGAACCCCCCCAACCACCAAGAACCCCGCACTCGCTTCCCTCCTCAAAACAAATCACCCTTAACCTATCAAACCCTGGCAAGCCCTAAACAAACTGGAGATTACCCGTGGCGGTCACAAACCCCACTTACCTCTCAACTTGTCGAAAAATACATGAGAAATTGGCCAAGCTTAACCATCTAATAAATAATTTCGAATCAATTACCATCTAATAAGATCGATCAGATCGAGCTTCATGATGGTGGGGGTAGGGGCCGTGGAGGATACCTCTCTTAGATCCGCATCGAATTCGCGGAGGGCGGGGCAGAGATCTCCTGCGAATTCCTCGAACGAAACCGAGCTCGTTGATCTAGCAATCCACTTCAGCTCGATCGATTGGCAGTGATCCCAGGTCAGACAGCCGAGGGGGAAACGGAGGATGAAAAGGAGAACGAAATCAACGAGACGCTTACCCTACCAGATCATCATCCCGAGATAACGGTGATGGTTAAATAATTTTTTTAAAAAAAAATAAAATAAAATTCAACAGAGGTAGAAGAAGAAGAAGATCAACAGATCAGAGGCTGCGAAGAGATGATGGGGGCGGGGGGAGGGGAGTCGGGAAAACCCTAGGGCTTGTTTGGATTGAGGAGAATGGGTGAACGGAAGTTAGGGGAACCATTCACCTTCATTCATCTTGTTTGGGAACATTTAGAAAGTAAAGTTAATTCACCTCCATTCACCTTGGTTCACCCCCTAATAGTATAAAAATTGTTACCCCCAAATTGGGGTGTAACCAAGGGGAAGGAAATTCCCTTCCCTTCCCTTCCTTTCCCTTCCCTTCCCTCAGTTTCCCTTAACTTCCCTTCACTCCCTACGAATCCAAACAGGCCCCTAAAGATTGGATCTTTGATTGATGCTTTGTTTTTTTGTTTTTTGTTCCGTACTCCGTGGATGTGGGGCCCAGGTAGGAAATCTACCAGGGGCTGTTTTTTTTTTTTTTTTTTGGTAAAAGTCGGGAAAACCCTAAAGATTTAGTCTATTTAACATTATATTGCTATTTAGTCCCTCAAATACTATTACTTATTCTACATTAACCCCTAACCTGTTATTCTGCCTAATGTTTTTAACCCATGTTTGATCGGTTTGTTTTTCCTCTGCGTGGTTTGACTACATCTCTACTCCCAGTTAGTCGTCACCCATCCTCCGTATCAAAATCGGTTGGATTATTCGGTAACTTAAACAGAGTGGTATGGCTGAATAATCATGACAATGTAGACAATTACGAGGACCGATCTGAAGTAAATAGTAATATTTGGGAAATTAAATAAAATTCCCAAAGATTTCGAGGGACAAATTTCAAAATATCCACTGTTTTTATATAAAAAATCTGCCTAAAGATCGTTTCACTGGACTGAGATAAGACTTAGGTAGGCTGTGTTTGGCAAAACTAGCTAAAAGCTGCGAGATTATAGCTAAAAGCTGTGAAATTATAGCTGAAAGCTGTTAGCTGTGTAGCTAGGTGATTGACTAGAGCTGTTTGGCAAAAGTAGCTGTACAACTAGCTTAAGTTTGTTAAATGGCTAAAAAAGACATGCAATATTATTGATATAAAATTAGAATTATTAGGGGGAAAAACGGAAGATAAAAATTAGCAGCTCCTTCCCAAAGACAAACGCTACTTGAGGTAGCTTTTCAAAAGCTACTTGCAAAAGACACAATCTCTAAAATAATCTCATCCTATTTTTTGTCACCAAACAGCTCTACTAGCTTATTGACCAAGTCGATAAGACACAAGCTCTTAGATAAGATACTTTTTTTGGTTGCCAAACAGTGCCTAGTCTATCTCTCGATGTCTAGCATTTTGCATCTATTTGTTGTACATATATTAAGCATGCAAGGGGACAATGTGGAAATCCCTTGAGTAGCTTCAGATAGGGCCCATAAACTTTTTTTTTATAAACCCAAAAATATCACAGTTTTTTGGGTTTCAATCAACCCATGGGCCGAAAAAATGCATGTTGGGCTGGTGCCATTATTTTTTTTTCTTTCCAAATTCTAGAGTTCTCTCAAAAATAAAATGTATGTATGGGATCCTGCAAACTTTATTCGAATGCACTTCTAGGGCAACTGTCTTTCCCACAAATATTTCAATAATTATACAGAGGGAGAAAAGTTCAATTGCATTCCTTGACCAAAACAAATAGGCCATTAAGAGTAGTCGTCGCTTAACCAATAAACCTAATAAAATAGTACGGAGACCGTTACGTAATCACAACCATTAATTAATTATTTAGTTGATGGTTGTGATTTTTTTTCTTTTGAGTGCAAATAGATTTAGATTGAGGAGCAAAGTAGAGTCTCTGGATAGCCCACGATCAGCGCCTGGCCGCCGCCGCCCAACGAGGTCACCTCCTCCCACTCGCTCTCCTCCTCGTCGAGCCTGAACACGCTAACGTACTGGCTCTCCCGTTCCACGAAAACTGACGTGAGCCTCCCGTTACGCTCAACGAGGGAGCAGCGCAGAACGTCGCCGCCGTCGTGCACGGGGCTCGGCCTGTCG